CATGGAGGGGGCATTGAGATTACACCGGGGTCGTTGAGGGGGGTGGAGGTGGCACCGGGGTCATTGAGGGGGCATTGAGGGGGCACCAGGGTCATTGAGGGGGCATTGAGGTGGCACCGGGGTCGTTGAGGTGGCACCGGGGTCATTGAGGGGGGATTGAGGTGGCACTGGGGTCATTGAGGGGTCATTGAGGTGACACTGGGGTCATTGAGGGGTCTTTGAGGGGGGGATTGTGGTTATTGAGGTGGCACTGAGGGGGCATTGAGGGGGCACTGGGGTCATTGAGGGGGCATTGACGTCATTGAGAGGGCACTGGGGGCATTGAGGTGGCACCGGGGTCATTGAAGGGGGATTGAGGTGGCACCGGGGTCATTGAGGGGTCATTGAGGTGACACCAGGGTCATTGAGGGGGCACCAGGGTCATTGAGGGGGGATTGAGGTGACACTAGGGTCGTTGAGGTGGCACTGGGGTCATTGAGGTGACACTGGGGTTGTTGAGGTGGCACCGGGTCATTGGGGGGCATTGAGGGGACACCAGGGTCATTGAGGTGGCACTGGGGTCATTGAGGGGATGAGGGTGGCACCGGGGTCATGGAGGTGGCACCGGGGTCATTGAGGGGGCACTGGGGTCATTGAGGGGGGATTGAGGTGGCACGGGGGTCATTGAGGGGGCACTGGGGTCATTGAGGGGTCATTGAGGTGGCACGGGGGTCATTGAGGGGGCACTGGGGTCATTGAGGGGTCATTGAGGTGGCACCGGGGTCATTGAGGGGGCACTGGGGTCATTGAGGGGGCATTGAGGGGACACCGGGGTCATTGAGGGGGGATTGAGGGGGCACTGGGGTCATTGAGGTGGCACTGGGGTCATTGAGGTGGCACTGGGGTCATTGAGGGGGCATTGAGGTGGCACTGGGGTCATTGAGGGGGCACGGGGGTCATTGAGGGGGGATGGAGGGGGCACCGGGGTCATTGGAGGGGATGAGGGTGACACTGGAGAGGATCAGGGTGACACTGGGGTGGGTCACTGGGTGGCACTGGGGTCACTGTGAGTGGATGAGGGTGACACTGGGGTCACTGGGTGACACTGGGGTCACTGGGTGAGGGTCCCCATGGCCCTGGTGACACTGGGTGAGGGTGGCATTGGGGTCACTGGGAGGGGATGAGGGTGACACTGGGAGCCACTGGATGAAGATTAGGGTGACATTGGGTGAGGATCAGGGTGACACTGGGGGTCACTGGGTGGCACTGGGAGTCACTGGGTGAGGGTCCTCATGGCCATGGTGGCACTGGGAGAGGAGCAGGGTGACACTGGGGTCACTGGGAGGGGATTGGGGTGGCACTGGGGTCACTGGGTGGCACTGGGGGTCACTGGGTGAGGATCAGGGTGACACTGGGTGTCACTGTGTGTCACTGGTGGTGTCACTGGGCGAGGCTCAGGGTGACACTGGGTGACACTGGGGTCACTGGGTGACACTGGGTGGCACTGGTGGTCACTGGGTAGCACTGGGGGTGTCACTGGGTGAGGGTCGGGGTGACACTGGGGGTCACTGGGTCAGGGTGGCACTTGGGTCAGTGGGAGGGGATGAGGGTGGCACTGGGTGACAATCAGGGTGACAATCAGGGTGACACTGGGGGGTCACTGGATGAAGATTAGGGTGACACTGGGTGAGGATCAGGGTGACACTGGGGTCACTGGGTGACACTGGGGGTCACTGGCTGAGGATCACAGTGACACTGGGGTTCACTGGGTGACACTGGGTGTCACTGTGTGGCACTGGGGGTGTCACTGGGTGAGGCTCAGGGTGACACTGGGTGGCACTGGGGTTCACTGGGTGACGATCAGGGTGACACTGGGGGTCACTGGGTGTCACTGGCTGATGATCAGGGTGGCACTGGGGGGGTCACTGGATGAAGATTAGGGTGACACTGGGAGGCTCAGGGTGGCACTGGGTGGCACTGGGGTTCACTGGGTGACACTGGGAGTCACTGTGTGTCACTGGGGTTCACTGGCTGAGGATTAGGGTGACACTGGGAGGGTCAGGGTGTCACTGGGTGAGGATCAGGGTGGCACTGGGTGACACTGGTGGTGTCACTGGATGAGGCTCAGGGTGACACTGGGTGACACTGGGGTCACTGGGTGACACTGGGTGTCACTGTGTGTCACTGGGGTTCACTGGGTGACAATCAGGGTGACACTGGGTGGCACTGGGTGACAATCAGGGTGACACTGGGTGGCACTGGGAGTCACTGGATGACAATCAGGGTGACACTGGGAGGGTCAGGGTGACACTGTGTGACACTGGGGTTCACTGGGTGGCACTGGGTGTCACTGTGTGTCACTGGTGGTGTCACTGGGCGAGGCTCAGGGTGACACTGGGGTCACTGGGTGACACTGGGAGTGACACTGGCTGAGGATCAGGGTGACATTGGGGGTCAATGGGTGGCACTGGGAGTCACTGGATGACAATCAGGGTGACACTGGGAGGGTCAGGGTGACACTGGGTGAGGATCAGGGTGGCACTGGGTGACAATCAGGGTGACACTGGGTGGCACTGGGAGTCACTGGATGACAATCAGGGTGACACTGGGAGGGTCAGGGTGACACTGGGTGAGGATCAGGGTGGCACTGGGGTCACTGGGAGGGGATGAGGGTGACATCGGGTGTCACTGTGTGTCACTGGGGGTGTCACTGGGTGGCACTGGGGTGCACTGGGAGTCACTGGGTGGCACTGGTGGTGTCACTGGGTGACACTGGGGTTCACTGGGCGAGGCTCAGGGTGTCACTGGGTGACACTGGGTTCACTGGGTGACACTGGTGGTCACTGTGTGGCACTGGGGGTGTCACTGGGCGAGGCTCAGGGTGACACTGGGTGGCACTGGGTGGCACTGGGGTTCACTGGCTGAGGATCAGGGTGGCACTGGGGGGTCACTGGATGAAGATTAGGGTGACACTGGGAGGGTCAGGGTGGCACTGGGTGAGGATCAGGGTGGCACTGGGTGACACTGGGGTCACTGGGTGAGGATCAGGGTGACACTGGGGGTCACTGGCAGGGTCAGGGTGACACTGGGGGTCACTGGGTGACACTGGGTGGCATTGGATGACAATCAGGGTCACACTGGGTGAGGATCAGGGTCACACTGGGTGATGATCAGGGTGACACAGGGGTTCACTGGGTGACAATCAGGGTGACACTGGGTGACACAGGGGTTCACTGGGTGGCACTGGGTGTCACTGTGTGACACTGGGTGGCATTGGATGAGGATCAGGGTGGCACTGGGGGTTCACTGGATGACAATCAGGGTGACACTGGGAGGCTCAGGGTGGCACTGGGTGAGGATCAGGGTGGCACTGGGTGACACTGGGGTCACTGGGTGAGGATCAGGGTGGCACTGGGTGGGTCAGGGTGGCACTGGGTGACAATCAGGGTGACACTGGGTGGCACTGGGGTTCACTGGGTGAGGGTCACTGGGTGACACTGGTGGTCACTGTGTGGCACTGGGGGTGTCACTGGGTGAGGCTCAGGGTGACACTGGGGTTCACTGGGTGACGATCAGGGAGTCACTGGGTGACACCGGTGGTGTCACTGGGCGAGGCTCAGGGTGACACTGGGTGACGATCAGGGTGACACTGGGGGTCACTGGGTGGCACTGGGTGGCACTGGGAGTCACTGGATGACAATCAGGGTGACACTGGGAGGGTCAGGGTGGCACTGGGTGAGGATCAGGGTGACACTGGGTGACACTGGGGTCACTGGGTGAGGATCAGGGTGACACTGGGGGTCACTGGCAGGGTCAGGGTGACACTGGGGTTCACTGGGGTTCACTGGATGACAATCAGGGTGACACTGTGAGAGGCTCAGGGTGACACTGGGTGACACTGGGATTCACTGGGTGACACTGGGTGGCACTGGATGACAATCAGGGTGACACTGGGAGGGTCAAGGTGGCACTGGGTGAGGATCAGGGTGGCACTGGGGTCACTGGGCGAGGCTCAGGGTGACACTGGGTGAGGATCAGGGTGACACTGGGGGTCACTGGCAGGGTCAGGGTGACACTGGGAGTCACTGGGGGTCACTGGGTGGCACCGGGGGTTACTGGATGAAGATCAGGGTGACACTGGGTGGCACTGGGGTTCACTGGGTGACACTGGGATTCACTGGGTGGCACTGGGTGGCACTGGATGACAATCAGGGTGACACTGGGAGGGTCAGGGTGGCACTGGGTGAGGATCAGGGTGGCACTGGGTGACACTGGGGTCACTGGGTGAGGATCAGGGTGACACTGGGGGTCACTGGCAGGGTCAGGGTGACACTGGGGGTCACTGGGTGACACTGGGTGGCACTGGGGTTCACTGGCTGAGGATCAGGGTGACACTGGGTGGCACTGGGGTTCACTGGCTGAGGATCAGGGTGACACTGGGTGGCACTGGGGTTCACTGGGTGACAATCAGGGTGACACTGGGTGACACTGGGGTTCACTGGGAGTGTCACTATGTGTCACCGGTGGTGTCACCGGGCGAGTCTCATGGTGCCACCCCGCTGCCACCACCACCGCCATTGTCCCTGTCCCTGTCCCCTGTCCCCAGCTGCACGTGGCAGCCGCCCATGGGTACCTGGAGGCGGCCGAGCTGCTGCTGGCTCACGGGGCCGGCCCCGCCGCGCCCGACGCCGACGGCTGGCAGCCCCTGCACGCCGCCGCCTGCTGGGGACAGGTGTGTCACCAACACCCTCGGGGACATCCCCCCTGTCCCCGATTTTCCCGATTTTCCCCTTTTTCCACCCGTTTTGTCCCCTCCTTTCTGCAGGTGCAGCTGGCGGAGCTGCTGGTGGCTCACGGCGCCGAGCTGGGCGCCAAATCGCTGCTGGAGGAGACGCCCCTGGGTGGGTTTGGTGGCACTTTGGTGGCACTCTGGTGGCGCTCTGGTGGCACTTTGGTGGCACTTTGGTGGCACTTCGGTGACAGGGGTGTTGTCACAGACGTGTGTGGGGATGAGGAGGTCCGGGCCAAGCTGCTGGAGCTGCAGCACAAGCGGGCGGCGGTGCTGAAATGCCAGGAGAGGCACAAATCCCTGCTCCAGAGGAGAACGTCCAGCGCCGGCAGCCGAGGGTGAGGATTGTCACCGCCTTGGGGACACACTGGGGACACCACAGGGGTGGCAATGGGGACACCACAGGGGTCACAAATCCCTGCTCCAGAGGAGAACGTCCAGCGCCGGCAGCCGAGGGTGAGGACTGGAGGGGACACCACAGGGGTGACACTGGGTGGCATTGGGGACACCACAGGGGTCACAAATCCCTGCTCCAGAGGAGAACGTCCAGCGCCGGCAGCCGAGGGTGAGGACTGGAGGGGACACCACAGGGGTGGCACTGGGTGGCATTGGGGACACCACAGGGGTCACAAATCCCTGCTCCAGAGGAGAACGTCCAGCGCCGGCAGCCGAGGGTGAGGATTGTCACTGCCTTGGGGACACACTGGGGTGACACAGGGGTGGCATTGGGGACACACGGGGTCACAAATCCCTGCTCCAGAGGAGAACATCCAGCACCGGCAGCCGAGGGTGAGGACTGGAGGGGACACCACAGGGGTGGCACTGGGTGGCATTGGGGTGACATTGGGGACACCACAGGGTCACAAATCCCTGCTCCAGAGGAGAACGTCCAGCGCCGGCAGCCGAGGGTGAGGGTTGGAGGGGACACCACAGGGGTGACATTGGGGACACCACAGGGGTGACATTGGGGTGACACTCAGGGTAGGGTCACAAATCCCTGCTCCAGAGGAGAACGTCCAGCGCCGGCAGCCGAGGGTGAGGATTGGCACCACCTTGGGGACACCACAGGGGTGGCACTGGGGTGACATTGGGGACACCACAGGGGACACCACAGGGGTGGCATTGGGGACACCACAGGGGTGGCATTGGGGACACCACAGGGGTGACATTGGGGTGACACACAGGGTCACAAATCCCTGCTCCAGAAGAGAACGTCCAGCGCCGGCAGCCGAGGGTGAGGATTGTCACCTCCCTGCCTTGGGGACACCACAGGGGTGACACTGGGGTGACACAGGGGACACCACAAGGGTGACACTGGGGACACCACAGGGGTGGCATTGGGGACACCTCAGGGGTGACACTGGGTGGCATTGGGGACACCACAGGGGTGGCACTGGGGACACCACAGGGGTGACATTGGGGACACCACAGGGGTGGCACAGGGGTGACATTGGGGACACCACAGGGGTGGCACTGGGTGGCATTGGGGTGACACACGGGGTCACAAATCCCTGCTCCAGAGGAGAGCGTCCAGCGCCAGCAGCCAAGGGTGAGGATTGGAGGGGACACCACAGGGGTGACATTGGTGACACCACAGAGGTGGCACTGGGGACACCGCAGGGGTGGCACTGGGGACACCACAGGGGTGACATTGGGGACACCGCAGGGCTGGCACTGGGGACACTGGAGGGACCAGGCTGACGCTGGGAGGTGCTCAGGGTGAAATCCCCGAAACCCCCCAGTTCCCCAAACCCCCATAAATCCCAAACCCCCATAAATCCCCCAAAGTTCATAATCCCGAACCCCGAAACCTCAGAGATCCTGAACCCCACCCACATCGCTCCCCAAAACCCCATAAACCCCCAAATCCCCAAATCCCGAAACCCCCATAATCTCCGAAACCCCAAAATCCCCATAAACCCCACAAACCCCCCATAATTCCAATAAATCCCATAAACCCCCATAATCCCAAATGCCAAAACCCCACAAATCCCCAAACCCCATAAACCCCAAAACCCCATAATCCCCAAACCCCACAAATCCCCAAACCCCATAAACCCCATAATCCACAAAACCCCATAAACCCCATAATCCCCAAACCCACAAATCCACAAAACCCCATAATCCCCAAACCCCATAATCCCCAAACCCCCCCAATTCCCATAAACCCCAAAGCCCCACTAATCACATAATCCCATAAACCCCATAAACCCCCAAACCCCGAAATCCCAAAACCCCCATAATCTCCAAAGCCCCAAAATCCTCATAAACCCCCGCATAATTCCAATAAATCCCAAACCCCCATAATCCCAAATGCCAAAACCCCACAAATCCCCAAACCCCATAAACCCCATAATCCCCAAACCCCATGAACCCCAAAACCCCATAATCCCCAAACCCCATAAACCCCACAAATCCCCAAACCCCATAAACCCCATAATCCCCAAACCCCACAAATCCCCAAACCCCATAAACCCCATAATCCCCAAACCCCATAAACCCCAAACCCCATAAACCCCATGAACCCCAAAACCCATAAACCCCAAACCCCATAAATCCCCAAAACACCCAAAAACCCCAAACCCTATAAAACCTAAATCCCATAAACCCCACAAATCCACAAAACCCCATAATCCCCAAACCCCACAAATCCCAAAACCCCATAATCCCCAAACCCCATAAATCCCCAAACCCCATAATCCCCAAAACCCCACAAATCCACAAAACGCCCAGAAACCCCAAACCCCCCCAATTCCCATAAACCCCAAAGCCCCACTAATCGCATAATCCCCAAACCCCATAAACCCCCAAATCCCCCAAACCCCGAAATCCCAAAACCCCCATAATCTCCGAAACCCCAAAATCCCCATAAATCCCATAAACCCCCCCATAATTCCAATAAATCCCATAAACCCCCATAATCCCAAATCCCCAAACCCCATAAACCCCAAACCCCATAAACCCCATAATCCCCAAACCCCATGAACCCCAAAACCCCATAATCCCCAAACCCCACAAATCCACAAAACCCCATAATCCCCAGAACCCATAAACCCCAAAATCCCACAAATCCCCAAAACGCCCAAAAACCCCAAAACCCCCCAATTCCCATAAACCCCAAAGCCCCACAAATTGCATAATCCCAAACCCCATAAACCCCCAAATCCCCCAAACCCCGAAATCCCAAAACCCCATAATCTCCGAAACCCCAAAATCCCCATAAACCCCCTCATAATTCCAATAAATCCCATAAACCCCCATAATCCCAAATGCCAAAACCCCACAAATCCACAAACCCCATAAACCCCAAACCCCATAAACCCCATAATCCCCAAACCCCACAAATCCACAAAACCCCATAATCCCCAAACCCCATAATCCCCAAACCCCATAATCCCCAAAACACCCATAAACCCCAAACCCCCCCAATTCCCATAAACCCCAAAGCCCCTCAAATCACATAATCCCATAAACCCCATAAACCCCCAAATCCCCCAAATCCCGAAATCCCAAAACCCCCATAATCTCCGAAACCCCAAAATCCCCATAAACCCCCTCATAATTCCAATAAATCCCAAACCCCCATAATCCCAAATACCAAAACCCCACAAATCCCCAAACCCCATAAACCCCATAATCCCCAAACCCCATGAACCCCAAAACCCATAAACCCCAAACCCCATAAATCCCCAAAACACCCAAAAACCCCAAACCCCATAAAACCTAAATTCCATAAACCCCACAAATCCACAAAACCCCATAATCCCCAAACCCCACAAATCCACAAAACCCCATAATCCCCAAACCCCACAAATCCACAAAACCCCATAATCCCCAAAACCCCATAATCCCAAAACCACACAAATCCCAAAACACCCATAAACCCCAAACCCCCCCAATTCCCGTAAACCCCAAAGCCCCACTAATCCCATAAACCCCATAAACCCCCAAATCCCCCAAACCCCGAAATCCCAAAACCCCCATAATCTCCGAAACACCAAAATCCCCATAAATCCCATAAACCCCCCCATAATTCCAATAAATCCCAAACCCCCATAATCCCAAATGCCAAAACCCCACAAATCCCCAAAACCCCATAAACCCCAAACCCCATAAATCCCAAAACCACACAAACCCCAAACCCCATAAATCCCCAAATCCCATAAATCCCAAAACCCCATAATCCCCAAACCCCATAAATCCCCAAATCCCATAAATCCCAAAACCCCATAATCCCCAAACCCCATAAATCCCCAAATCCCATAAATCCCCAAACCCCATGAACCCCAAAACCCCAAGCCCCATAATCCCCAAACCCCACAAATCCACAAAACCCCATAATCCCAAACCCCATGAACCCCACAACCCCACAAATCCCCGAAACGCCCAAAAACCCCAAACCCCCCCAATTCCCATAAACCCCAAAGCCCCACAAATCGCATAATCCCATAAACCCCATAAACCCCCAAATCCCCCAAACCCCGAAATCCCAAAACCCCCATAATCTCCGAAACCCCAAAATCCCCATAAACCCCCCCATAATTCCAATAAATCCCATAAACCCCCATAATCCCAAATGCCAAAACCCCACAAATCCACAAACCCCATAAACCCCAAAACCCCAAACCCCATAAACCCCATAATCCACAAAACCCCATAATCCCCAAACCCCACAAATCCACAAAATCCCATAAATCCCAAACCCCACAAATCCCCAAAACGCCCAAAAACCCCAAACCCCACAAATCCACAAAACCCCATAATCCCCAAACCCCATAAATCCCAAAACCCCATGAACCCCAAAACCCCACAAATCCCCAAAACGCCCAAAAACCCCAAAACCCCCCAATTCCCATAATCCCCAAACCCCACAAATCCACAAAACCCCATAATCCCCAAACCCCATAATCCCCAAATCCCATGAATCCCAAACCCCATAAACCCATAATCCCCAAACCCCACAAATCCACAAAACCCCATAATCCCCAAACCCCATAATCCCCAAACCCCATGAACCCCAAACCCCCCCAATTCCCATAAACCCCAAAACCCCACAAATTGCATAATCCCCAAACCCCATAATCCCCAGAACCCATAAACCCCAAAATCCCACAAATCCCCTAAACCCCATACACCCCAAAGCCCATAAACCCCAAATCCCCTAAACCCCATAAACCCCCCCATAATTTCCATAAACCCCCAAAACCCCACAAATCCCCCCCAAAACCCCACAAATCCCCCCAAAACCACACAAATCCCCAAACACCTAAATCCCCAAAACCCCATAAAACCCAAATCCCCGAAATCCCCTAAACCCCATAATCCCCAAATCCCATAA